GGAAGCAAGGCTCTGTCTCAAAAACATAAAACAAACCCAAAAAATCAAAAAAAACCACTAACTTGTTTGTTTTTACTTTCTTTTTTTTTTTTTTTGGTACCGGGGATCAAACTCAGCAGGCAGCAAAACCACTGAGCTAAATCCCTGGCCCTCTTTTTACTTTTTTAAAAATGTGGCTCAGGATAATTTCAAAGCACAATGTAAACTGGGGATAGTGGCATATGCCTATAATCCCAGCTACTTGGGAGGCTAACGCAGGAGGATCACAAGTTTGAGCCCAGCCTGGAAAATTTAGCAAGACTTTGTCTCAAAAAAAAAATTTTTTTAAGGGCTGGGGATTTGGCTCAGTGTGAAGGGAGGATCAAAAGTTTGAGTCCTGTCTGTCTCAAAATTTAAAAGGGCTGGAATGTGGCTCTGTGGTAAAGAGCCCCAGGACTGATCCCCAGTACTGGAAAAAAAGGTACAATGTGGCTCGCACTGTGTTTCTTAAAGAAATCCACTTGTGGCAAAGAAAACAGTGAGGCCAATGAAGGTAACGTTAAACTTTCAGACAGTTGAATGAGACAGATTCCGGCAATGACCTTATCCAAGACTGGAATGATATTATTAAATGTATCCCTTGGATTACATTATTAAGTTATTAACTTGGAATTTGAATACTCTAATGCATCAATCCACCTTTGGAAGCACCAAAAGGATCTACAATATTATAATTTTCTCTTTCTCTTTCTTTTTGGTGCTGCTGGGGATCTAACCCAGGGACTCAGGCAGGCTAGGTCAGTACTCTACCATGGAGCTATATTCCCAGCCCTATAACTCTTAAATTAAGAGATATTCTTTAGATATTCACAGAAGACTGAATTTATCAGTCATTCTTTCAATGACATCAAGAACACCTATCTTCCAAATTGCTATTATTCTCTATAAGTGATTTATCTGTGACCCCATCCCTTTCTACTTTGTAATGTTTACAAGAAATAATAAGGTGAACTTTTGGGAACTTTTGAAAGAAGGTAAATTCAAATTATGCTTAATTTAAAATGAGATTTCTCAACTATAAAGGACATTATTTCAGCTGATTTTGTCATTATTGTCATCATCATTTAAATAAAGTAAGACCAAGGGGCTGGGAATTTAGCTCAGTGGTGCCATGCCAGCCTCGAAAGCACAAGATCCTGGGTTCAATCCCCAGTACCACAATCAATCAATCAATCAATCAATCAATAAAGCAAGACCTTCAACTTCTAATACTCCTTCTATATACCTCAGTAAAATCTGCAAACTAAGTTTCTTTGGTCAGGAAGTGAGGGAATCTGGGGGACAGCAGACTGCAGACTCCAGATCTGTGTCCTTGAGATCTTTTCTCACTGAAGTAGCAGTACCCAGGAGTTCTGGTGTGTTCTACTTGTGGCCTGGGCCTCCCACAACTGCTGCTATGTGTTTTACATATTTCTGCCCATCCCTCATTCTCTGAAGACTGGCATGCACTCTTTAGCAAAAAGCATAACACTGAGCAAAAGTGGTATTTCTAACAAAGAGTCATATGGTACAGACATGAAAATATTGAACAGATATTTTCATATTTATCATATTTTTAAGACCAATACAGACCCTATAATAGAATCCATGATCTATATAGGTGATAATACTGTTTAAGGTTAACTTTATGAGGGGTTAAAAGTATAGCCTAGTGGTAGCGTGTGTGCTTAGCATCCTCAAGACCCTGGGTTCATCCCTAATGCCAATACATAAAGTTAACTTTAGACGTTACCTGAACACATAAGGATCTTCAGGGCAGGAATTAGTCTTTTATGTTCTCAAAGGTGTGTTTAATCCAGGTCTGCACACCTCTAGGAAATTAACAAAGTCTTCCTGATTGACATTTTGAACACTCACTCCTGAAACATTTCACCCTTATTTAAGAAACAACACTCTGATCAAGTGGGATTCATCCCAGGGATGCAGGGATGGTTCAACATACACAAATCAATCAATGTAATGCACTATATCAATAGAACCAAGAACGAAAACCATATGATCATCTCAATAGATGCAGAAAAACCATTTGACAAAAACCCACATACATTTATGATTAAAAACCCTACACAAAATTGGAATAGACGGTCTCTACCTCAATCTGATAAAAGCCATCTAAAAAACCAACAGTCAGTATCATACTAAATGGTCAAAAACTGAAATCCTTCACATTAAAATCAGGAACAAGGCAAGGATGTCCACTATCACCACTCCTGTTCAAAATAGTCTTGGAAACATTATCCACAGCAATTACACAAGAGAAAGAAATAAAAGGAATAAAGATAGAAATAAAAGGAAGAAGTCAAATTGTCATTATTTGCAGATGACATGATACTCTATATAGAAGACCCCAAGAACTCCACCAAAAGCCTTCTAGACTTTTTTT